TATCTATCTATCTATCTATCTATCTATCTATCTATCTATCTATCTATCTATCTCACTCCAACAAAATTAATGAACACATTGGAACAAAGTCTGAGATTATCTGCAGTGTCCCACATCCCTGTAAAGGAGAGTGAGAGGCACCTTCTCTTCGGGGCCAAGCTCGGCCATACTTTGGCAGCACTTCACACTTTTGTTGTGGCTCCTATGTGATTTTCCTAATTCTATTTATCTCACTCCGCATCAGTTCATGTGCGTCCCCACGAGTCTCTGTACTCTCCATATTTGTAATCTCTTACAGCGCAGTAATGGAGCTGGAAGGCAACTTTTGGGTCAGGGGAGTCATCGGGTTTAAGTCCATTATTTAATAGTCAGATAATTGGAAAGACCCTGAACCTCTTCTCCAGTGGCAGAATCATGACTCCAAATCTGATGCTCTTTTCTAGGAGATGCGAATTTGAATCCCCAATCCAACCTCACTAGCTATGTTACTAGGGGCAAATCACTAAACTTCTCTGGGACTCATGAAAAGGGGGAACGATTGGTGCCCCCGCCCCACCCTTGTTTCCACTGGCTTAAGGAAGGAAACAAGCACTTATTAAGCACTGACTGTGTGCAGGGCATACTTGATCTTCACATCGACACTGGAAACAAACGTAGTGGATGGTGTGAATCTTTGAGAAGGGATATATAGATGGTGGACTTCCCCCTTCTCCTCAGCCATGGACTCAGGAAACCCGAGTTCCGATCCTGCCAGGTAGCTGCGAGAGCCTGGGCAATTTAGTGAACCTCTCAGGACCTGGTTTCTCCACTGTGAGGTGGTATTCTTACCTGCAATATTTTACAGTGTTATGAGACAGTGATTTCCTTTAGCCCCTAAAATGCTACATGAATACGAATGACTATTATTTTTATGTGTGCATGTATCCTTATTTATGTGTAGGTGTATATATGCGTGTATATGTATATTCTTTTTGGTGAGGCAATCGGGGTTAAGTGACTTGCCCAGAGTCACTCAGCTACTAAGTGTCAAGTGTCTGAGGTCACATTTGAACTCAGGTCCCCCTGACTCCAAGGCCAGAGCTCTATCCACTGCGCCACCTAGCTGCCCCTCCTCATTTATATATTTATAGGCAGCTAGGTAAAGTGGGTAGAGCTCTGGCCTTGCAGTCAGGAAGACCCGAGTTCAAATCCTGCCTCAGCACTTACTAGCTGTCTGACCCTGGGCAAGTCACTTAACCTCTGTCTGCCTCAGTTTCATTTGTAAAATGGCAACAATAATAGCACCTGGGAAGTAGGTACTATTATTATCTCCATTTTACAATTGAGGAAACTGAGGCAGAGGTCAAGTGACTTGCCCAGGCTCACACGGCTCGAATCTGAGGCAGCATTTGAACTCGGGTCTTCCTGACTCAAGAAAGCGCTTTCATTCATTCGCCAGACGTGTATTCCGCCATTCCGCAAAGCCCAATTCGCTCCCGAATTGCGCGTGGCGCTTCCTCCGTTCTCGCAGGGTGGGAACACGCGGTACCAGGCCCTCCGCGACTCACGGCGAGTCCCCGGCAGCGCTCGGGCTCTGCGCATGCCCAGGAAGGCCCGCCGACCAGGCCCGAACAGTCTGCGCTGCTCGCGGCCGCCCGAGCCCAGCGAGCCGGCCCGTGGCCGTGACCTCGCCCGCCCACGTCCCCAACCCTGTTTGGCCAGCCCAGGTTCCCCGTGTCCCAGTCACTCCGCACTTCTCAGCAGCTCCAGCCCAGCCTCCCCACACCCGGGCCCCCCCCCCTGCCCCGCCGAAGCCCCGCCCCCTCGGACTGGCGCGCGTCACCTTACTCCCCGCCTGCTCCCTCCCCTTCCGTGTTTTGGTAGCGCCTGGGCCCCGCCCCCGCCGCGCTATGATTGGCTGAGCGCCGGGACGCCGGAGCCCAGAAGCTGGCCTCGATTGGCTGTCGTTGGCCGTCACTCACATGTGTGCCCCCGGAGTTGGCTGGACGTGGGAGAGGAACAGAGAGACCTGGGAGCGGAGGGCACGGTAAGGCTGGGGGTGGGGGCTGGGGCTTCTCTTTGCGGGCTGTCGCGCTCCCTGTCCGGGTGGGGTCCTGCTTCTCCTAACATCCCGAGCGGTCCCGGTGTGCCCCTCCGGATTCCTCTCGGGTAATCCGAGGAGGGAGACCTCTAAGCGTTTGGAAGGCTGGACCTCCCACCAGCTCCCCGGGCTCTGGGGCTGCAGGAAAGCGACCCATACTTTTGCTAGCCCTGTTTGGGCTAAGGCAGTCCTTTCCTGGAGAAGGATAGAAAGGAGAAAGGGCTGGAAAGTTAGGAATCCTGGCTCTGCTGCTTCCTCTGTGACCTTGTGCAAATCATTGCTTCCCCGGGCTTCAGTTTCCTCCTCTCTGAAATGGGGAGAATAACGCTGCTGTCTCACAGAATGGAGGATCAAATAAGATGAAAGCCTGCTGTAAAAACTAGTTTGCAAATAACTTACTCTATAGGGTTTTAAGGTTTACACAGGCTTTCCCCAGAAATAACCCTTTGCAGGAAAGTTAGTTAAAATTGTTACATGTAATTTAGAAGGTATTGGGAATACAAAGACAAAATGAAACAATGCTTACCCTTCAAAGTGTTACACTGTATAATTACCCCCTTTTTACATATGAGAAAACAGGCTCAGAAGGAGAAACTTGGAGTCACACTGCTAATAAGTGGGGCAGCCACAATTGAAATTCAGGGTTCCTGTCCTTTCCCCTGCATCCTCCTCCTTTTGCTGAAGCCTTTTCATATTCCGCTTTTCCTTTAAATTAAAGAGGCAGTTGGTGTAATGGATAGAGACAAGACCTGGGTTGAAGTTCTTCTGATAAATAGGAGCTGTGTGCTCCTGGGCAAGCTATTTGACCTCTCTGCTGCCAGAAAACTCTAAGGCTTTTTGGATGCTAGAATGCAGTTGGGGAGTTTCCTATATGCAATGAAATTACAGGTTAGGTTAAAAAAATTTACTGCTTCTCAGACCTGTAACCTGTAAAGCCCTTTACAAACACAGATTTATTGTGAGTCTTCAGAAGGTTTGGCTCTAGTCCTGACTCAGCTGCTAATTTGATTCCCCTATTTGGTAGTGATTTCCTATATGCCCATACGAGTTGCGTCTTACGGTAGAGTATTAGGTCCTTAAGAGAAGAGACTCTTTTTTGATCTTCTTACAGAAGCATCTTTTGCTGAGTAGTCTTTTAAATTACTTACCTCACAGGGTAGTTGTATAGATCCAGTGAGGTAATATATGGAATGCCCTTTAAATGTAAATATAAACATAATTCACATTTCTGTAGCCTTTCAGGTCTTTAAAGCACATCCTCACAACTGAAGTGTAAGGTAGGTAGTATAAGTATTATGATCCTCATTTTACAAAATTGCGGTTCTGAGAAGTGCAAGTGAGTTGCTGAGGGTCACACAGCTTGGGATTTTAACATAGGTCTTTTGCCTTTATGTTTAATGTTCTGTTTACTATAATATGTTGCTTCTTTCTTCAGTGGTTCTCTGGGTCCCTTTCAGGGGATCTATGAGGTCAAAACTATTTTCATAATAATACAAAGATTTTAATTCTAAGCTTTAATTTCGAATATGGTAAATGTTGATATATATAAACAAAATTCCTTTGGGATGGGGATTCTTTAGTAATGTTTTTATTTTTTTTTTAATTAATTTTTTTTTTTTAGGCAATTGGGGTTAAGTGAGTTGCCCATGGTCACACAGCTAGTGTCAAGTGTTTGGTCAGAGATCAGATTTGAACTCAGATCCTTCTGACTCCAAGGCTGGTGTTCTATCCACTGCACCACCTAGCTGCCCCCTTTAGTAATTTTTAAGAGTATAAAGGGATCCTGAGGCCAAAAAATTTGAGAACCACTGACCTAATCCAACCCCTAGGCTTTATGATGAAGAAACTGAGACCCAGGAGGTCTTAATGACTTACCTGCAGTCACACAGATAATATGGATGAAGATTAGAACACTATAGAAAGCCTTCCTTCAGAAAGATAAGTAGGGTTTGGGTGGAAGGGAGAGGGAGAAGTGATTTAGGTAAGGGGAACAAACCAATTTTAGAGGCAAAGAGGTGAGAATAAATCTGTCTTTCACAGTGCAATGAATCCTAAGAGGTAGGAATGAGGAGGGTCAATATATTCAGGGTGTGAGGGGGCCAGGAGACAGTAAAGCACTAAAGATTGAGGATTAATTCTTAAAGTCTTGTTTGGCTGAAACAATTCATAAAGGAAAGTATGAAAAATAAAGTTGGAAAGGCAGGTTGGAGGCAGATTGAATCAAAACCCTGGATAAATCTCTGGAACATTCTGTGGAGTTTCAGGAGTTCCGATCACTCCTACTACTATCCTTCCCAGAGAAGTGTCACAGGATCACAGACTTGGAGCTGAAAGGGACCTTAGAGGTTATTGAGTCCAGCCCTCTCTAATAATTTGCTGGAATAATCCCATCCCACTCCACCAGTGGAATCTTCTTAATAATATCTAAAAAGAATAATAACATTTATAGAGCGCTTTAAGGTTTGCAAAGAAGTGTTACAAATATTAACTTATTTCGTTCTTGAAACAATCCTGGGAGGTTGGTGCTATTATTTATCCCCATTTTACAGAGGAGGAAATGGATGCTGAGAGAAGTTTAATTGACTTGCCCAGCTAAAGCAGTGGGGTCATATTTGAACTCAGGTCTTCACAACTCCTGGCCCAGTGCTCTATCCGCTGCACTACCTAACTGCTGCCTTGACGATTGGACAGCCCGTGATTTTATTCCTTTTACTACAGTGTGGCAATCATGCCACCCCCTACAAAGGTCCCCCGAAGGGAGGCCCTGGTGCTACAGTGTGAGTGGGGATCCTGTACCTTTGTGGCCTCAACCGTGGAGGAGTTCTGTGAACATGTCACGCAGCACCTCCAGCAGCATCTCCAGGGCCCTGAGGAAGAAGATGAGGATGAGGTGGACCCACTTGGTGAGTGAACCAGGGATGCTGGAACAAGAAGACAGCTTGTGAGAGGTGGGAGGAGGCCAGCTCTGCTTTTGCTCTCTTGTCCTGGGACAGACTGGGAAGATGGGGCTTCGTGGAGGGGAGGAATGTCTTCAGAAGAGGTTCAGGGATTGACTTAGGGAGCATTGGGCTAGAGGCCAGAGATGGGGTTCACCCTGCCTGGTTCTGTATTCAGGCAGGTCTGTGTCCTGTTTTTGTCTTTCCTCCATCTCAGCTGAAGAGTACTCCTGTTTGTGGCAAGAGTGTGGCTTCTGTTCCCCAGACAGCTCTGCTGACCTGGTCCGTCATGTCTATTTCCACTGTTACCACACCAAGCTGAAACAGTGGGGACTTCAGGCTCTGCAAGGCCAGGCCGGACTCAGCCACTGCCTGCTGGACTTCCAAAGCCGAAACATGATCCCTGACATTCCTGACCACTTCTTGTGCCAGTGGGAGCACTGTGAGGTCAGCAGGCAGGGGCCAGGGCTGGGGGGAAAGGATGTGCTCTGTCCTGGATAGAGAGACCTTGGATCCCTGTGAAGTCTGTCAAGCACTCTCCTTTCTCCGGTTTCTTCTGGCTTCCTCTTAACCACAAAGATGGTCAGGATTAGAGTATTACCTTGGTTCATTAAAAGTGCCCCTCTATTCATTCCTTACCCTCAGTCTTACTTTTCCCCTCAACAGAGCTCCTTTGACAATCCAGAGTGGTTTTACCGGCATGTGGAGGCCCATAGCCTGTGTTGTGAATACAAGGCAGCCAGCAAGGAGAACCATGTGGTGCCATGTGGCTGGAAAGGTTAGGGAAACTTCAGTCACCTATTTAGATAACCCTCGTTTTTGGAGGGGAACCCTGCCTTTATGGGTGGGAGGGCTAGGGATAGTACCCAGGTATTTCAGCTTCCCCATTCTTTAAAGTGAACGATTTGGCCATTGGGCCAGGAGGGGGGTTGGAGGAAAATGGGGCGGGGAGAGACATTCTGTATGGTTTAGGGCAGGTGGGAGGGGCCTGATTTGGTGTCTTCCCCAGATTGCAACTGCACCTTCAAAGGCCGTTGTAAACTGAGAGAGCATCTTCGAAGCCACACCCAGGAGAAGGTGGTGGCCTGCCCCACCTGTGGGGGGATGTTTGCCAATAACACCAAATTCTTTGACCACATCCGGCGCCAGACATCACTGGACCGTGAGCGTGGGGATGGAGGGAGGAGGGATGGGGGGCAAGGGGCGAACTGGGCTGCTTAGGACAGAGCTAGGCATTAGGAGATCCAGCACCTGCATCTGCCTCTGGGCTTCTGGCCCTTCTCTTGCCTGTGACCCCTCCAAGTCACACTTAATAGCTGTGTCAGCTTGGATGAGTCACTCAACCTTTTTAGGCCTCAGTTTCCTCCTCTGTAAGATGGGGGTAGGGTTGAAAAAATGAGCCAGTTCACCTCAAAAAAATTTCTTTGATTAATGCCTGAAAGTTCCCCTCCTTCCATGTCTGGAGTTGTCTTCCTCTCTCTTCACCTTTTGTTTCTCTTTGGCCTCTCAAAGTTCTCATTATTTTCCCACCATAGAACAACGATTCCAGTGTTCCCATTGCTCCAAGAGGTTTGCCACAGAGCGACTATTGCGGGACCACATGCGCAACCATGGTCAGTTTCCCCAAGCCCCTCTTCCCACGTTTTCTCCTGTTCTGCCCTTCCCTCCCCCCACATCCTTCTCTTCTCTGCTCCCTACAGTAAATCACTACAAGTGCCCTTTGTGCGACATGACCTGCCCGCTGCCCTCCTCCCTCCGAAACCACATTCGCTTCCGACACAGTGAAGACCGGCCCTTTAAATGTGATTACTGTGACTACAGGTGAGGTGGGGGCAGCTGTTGGGACCAGCTGTGCCCAGGTTCCTCCCTGTCCTGGTGACCCTTTTCCCTCTTCTGGCAGTTGTAAGAACCTGATTGACCTCCGGAAGCACTTAGACACTCATAGCAAGGAACCTGCCTACCATTGTGAGTTTGAAAACTGCAGCTTCAGCGCCCGCTCCCACTGCTCCATCAAGTCCCATTACCGAAAAGTGCACCAAGTAAGTAGGACCTGGGGAGGGAGGAGGAGAGGACGTGTGGGGCTGGGGCCAGGGCCTGGAGACATCCTCAACTTTGGGAGTAGCCTGGGTTTAGGAGCTCATCTGAGTTTCAGCCAACATGGGAAGGTTTCCTGTGTGTACGGTCCTGTGCCCAGGATAGTGATAGGGACAGGATCTGGGATTTCATTGTGTAGGGAATTCCCAGGTGAGGAAACTCCCTCTACTGATGCCCCGATGCAGGCTGGCATCCTCTGCAACTTATAGAGTTTCTTAGGGCATTGAGGAGTTAAGTAACTTGCCCTGAGTCACATAGCCAGTAGGGGTCAAAGGTGGGGGGAGAAACCAGGTCTTCCTTGCTCTTGTTTGTTTTTTTGTTTTTGTTTTTTGGTGAGGCAATTGGGGTTAAGTGACTTGTCCAGGGTCACACAGCCGGTAAGTGTCAAGTGTCTGAGGCTGGGTTTGAACTCGGGTCCTTCTGCCTCCAAGGCCAGAGCTCTATCTACTGTCTTCCTTGCTCTCGAGGACAGCTTTTTATCAACTACACTGCTCCTGGGGAAGCTAGAAAAATTAAATGAAATACTATCCCTGCTGTGATGGAGCTGACAATTTAGTAATAATTTGCCTCCCAAATAACTCCTGCTGAATGCCTTCTAAATGCACATAGTTGGTGTGGTGTCTTGAGTTTGGTGCAAGGCCCAAGACAGTTAGGACAGCTTGAATGGAGGAGGTGGGCAGCTGGGATCTCTGCAGTCTCGACTTTACCAACAGGGTGACTCAGAGCCAAGATACAAGTGTCATGTCTGTGACAAGTGCTTCACTCGAGGCAACAACCTCACTGTCCACCTTCGAAAGAAGCATCAGTTCAAGTGGCCATCAGGCCACCCCCGTTTCCGGTAAGTTCTCCTTCTCTTCCCTGGGTATTCAGCAAGAGCAGTGATGATGTTTGGAGAACTGTGAATGAACTTGCCTTTGAATTTTTACTCTCCATATGTCTCCCTAGGTATTTCACGTACTTCATTCCATTTTATCCCAAGAAAAACAAGGGGCAGGGAAAGCTAGGTGGTGCAGTGGATAGAGCACCAGTCCTGGAGTCAGGAGGACCTGAGTTCAAATCCTGTCTCGGACACATAATACTCACTAGCTGTGTGACCCTGGGCAAGTCACTTAATCCCAATTGCCTCACAAAAAACCCCAAACCAAACAAAACAAAAAAAAACGAAGCAAAG